AAAAAAAAAAAAAAAAAACAATAAAATTTGGCCTTGTTACCCAGAACATCCATCTTTAAAGACTTTGACAAAAAATATATCAGCCTGATAGAAAAATGGACAAAAGCCTTTAATAGATACCTTACAGAGAAGGCTATCCAAATGGACACTTAGAAAAGGTCTTCACTGGAAGTGATGTCACCCTACTGCAGAGAAGTGAGAGAAAATACTTAAAAACAAAAAGTGATCAACCTTGTAAGTAATCAGGGAACTGATAAAGCCCATACATGGCCACAGATCAGCACTTTTAAGGACTAGTGTCCTTATAACAAAAGGAAAAGACACTAAGGATACAGAATACACACACACACACACACACACACACACACACACACACACACACAGGAACAGCTATGCAAGTTCAGAGAGGAGACCATCTGCAAGTCAGTAAGCCAACCCTGCCAGCTCCTTCACCTGAAAGTGCTTGCTGAGCATGTGCAAAGCTCTGGGATCAATTCCCAGCACCACAGGAACCAAAAATGAACAAAATGGTTATTATTATTGTAACAGTCAGAATAGTTGGTAAGGAAGATTTTGTGATTCCATCTCATGACCTAAATAATCATTTAAAAATTAATTATTCATTCAACTATACAATCAGATATGATATTTTTTGTCTACATATACTTCACAATTTTGAAATTATGTTTTGGGGGAGGTAAAGTTTGAGGTAGGGTCTCACTATGCAGTTCAGCCTGGCCTTGAACTTACTATGTAGCCTAGGCTGGCCTTGAACTCATGTCAATCCGTCACAGCCTCCCCAGCGCTGGAATTACAAGCACCACCACACTCTGCATTTGAAATTCTTAAATTATGTTAAAATGTTTAAAAATTGTATTACATAAACTATGTTGCTTGCTGCTTTGCTACTTTGTTGCCTTCTGCCTGCCATGAACTGTTTCTCCTCTGCAATGCCCCTCTCCATGCCACCCTGCTTTGGAGCCAGCCAATTATGAATAAAATCTCTACAAACTGTGAGCTAAATAAATCTTTCCTCCTTTAATTTTGGATGTCAGATATTTTGTCTCAGCAACAAGAGAAGTAATGAAGACACCAGACATTAGAAACACACAGGAGAGAGAGAAGTCATGTGACATCACTCTCAAAAATGTGTGTGATTAAACTTCCCTAAATCCATTTGCCATCATAATCATTTACTATCACCTACCATATGGAATTGCTCTAAGAATTCAATGCCCACTCTAACATCAGGCAGCTTGCAGCTATTCAGTAAAAGCTAGTTCCATTTCACATTCCCAGGAAGGAAAGGCAGATCTTATGATTCTAGTTCCACATGGAAAAAAGCTGTGCCTTTCCACATATATAAAACTGTATCCTTCATTCCACTCATAGATTCTATTAATCCAAGCTACAAATGAAAACAAAAACCAGATGAGCAAAATAGGACCCAGGCCCAAATCTAGCCTATCTCTTATTTATGCAGATGAAGTTTAACTGGAACTCAACTACACTGGTTCATAAGGGTGCTTCCACAGTACAGTGACAGAGTGGACCACTGCAACAGCAATGGCCTCTTCCTTGACCAAAAGAGGCTGCCAACCTTTGTGTCATTTCAGAAGACATAACATTTAATGTTGATTGTTAAGCATATGCTTTTACTGTTATTGCATTATATAAATGGACAACTGAAAGACATAAAAATCTTTGCTAGTCAGAACCTTCTATACAGTGCAGTCAGGAAGTAGTGTGTATGGAAAAGGACCCACACAAGCAGATCGGTCTGTGATTCTATATTTTGCATCTTGACACAGCTTTTGTTACTTACCTTTGCAGGAATTCTCTTGTCAAAATCAGGAAAATGAATTATTTTATTCAGCTTGGCTACAAACAGTATCATTATAGTGGCTGCCATCTAAAAAAAAGAAGAAACTACAGCACAATATCTAGAAAGATTGCTTGAGACGCAGTAACATCATCAGACAAAAACAAACTTATCAAAAAGAGAGCAAGCCAAATTTTTTTCATGCCCCCCCCCAAAAAAAATGCCAAAGTTGTTCTTGACACTGCTTGCCACAGTACGGTTCCATCAGAATTACAGGCAAAATGTATAGCACCAAATAAACACACAATCTAGGGTTCTAAAACCAGTGACCCCGGGATGAGGAGGAAACAGTGTACCCAAGAGTGATCACAAAAACAAGCAACTATGAGGCCACATGGTGATCCTGGACTACACTAGCCACACACCAAGCATGGGGTCACTTGCCCCAGTAAGGGCCAAAGGGAGGGGCATTCTTACACAGGAAACTCTGCACCAAACACTTTTTTTTTAAGTCCAACATTTGGGCTTGGAATGTAGCTCAATAGTAGAGTATTTATCTAGCACAAGGCAGGTCCTGACTTTCAACCCCAGCACTGCGAAAAAACCAAAAATCTAACATTTCCATAATATAGAAAAAAAATCAAGAGGCCAAAGAAAGAGGGAAAGAAGTTTTTAATAGATTCATATTTCTCTTCAATCTAGCCAGTACAACAAAAATGTCTAATTTAACGCCTATAAATCTGGACTATAAGACTGATGTGGCAGTGCAGGCCTGTAATCTCAGGACTTTGGGAGGGTGAAGCAGGAACACTGCCATAAATTCAAGGCAGGCCTGGGCTACACAGTGAGTTCAAAAGCAGCCTCAACTACCTAGCAAGACTCTGTCTCAGAAATTACCATGCAAAGCTACAAGATCCCAATAATGAATGTAACTGTACTGTATACCTAAAATGTACTAATAAACTCAATGAGAAAAAAAATTATTTAAAATTTTTTTTTAAATCTAGAGTATACTGGATATATTAAAAATACTCTGTATTATTATTTTGAAATAAACTCAATATAATCTTAAGCAAATTTTAGTTTTCTTATTAGGATGCAAAATTTTATGAGCTACTTCAACATGAATATAATTGTAAATCTTTTTTTATTCACTAAGTTTATTGATACATTTTAGGTATACGTACATTAAGATCACATTTATCATCGAGAATTTGTACCTATGCATGATGTATCTTGGTTATTGTTTTTACCCTATTTCCTCCCTTCCACCCCTCCACCCCTCACTCTGTACAAAAACTTTGTTCCTGTTTTTGCCTTCTTTTCTCATATTTTTTTCTTTCCCTTCTTTCCTTTCCCCCACCCCTCCCCACTTCCCCTTCCCCTTTGAATCTTTTCTTCCTATTTCACATTATGTATTATACATTTTGGTCCTCATTTAAACTTTCAGTTTCTCACACCAGAGAAACAGTTTGGTTATAATTCTAAATCTTGATCTTAATGAGTTTACAATTTTTTAAATTGAGTTTATTGGTACATTTTAGATATACAGTACAGTTACATTCATTATTGGGATCTTGTACCTTTACATGACAGGTCTTGGTTCTCATTTTTCCCCCTTGTCCCTGCCCTCCCTTCACCCCCTCTACCTCTCCCCATTTACAAACACTTTATTTTCATTTTTTCATTTTCTCATATTTTTTTCTTTGAGTTTACAAATATTTATGACATGCTCATATCACTCAGGCCCATCCTGAATTATAATTAGACTTTGTATTTTTGTCTCACTTTGTATTTCTTGAAGAAATATACTAACAGTTAATTAAAATAAGTATAATTCAGACTTTTAAATTGGAACTGATAAGTCTCTTTCTTTACCCAATAGCAACTCAGGCAGGCTTATAATTCATTGACTATAAGTCAGTGGGTTAGAAAACAAAATTTATTTCTTTTGGGGATTCCTGAGGGCACATTAATGTGTTTTTCCATATATTTTTACATTAAAATATAAAGATGTGGTTTTTAATATGATATAGTCTTTTCTGGTTAAAATTTTTCTCCAAAGAATTACTTATTAGCAAAACATTAAGCCAGAATAATGTTTACTCATATATATGATAGACTTTTCCAGATTCACAATTTCAAATTCAGTAAACAATTATAATTTTCATAATTTTAAGTTTTTTTCCCTATAATCAAAGCAAAGTCAAAACAGCAACAGAAAAGCTTTTCTAATAACTGTTTGCTTACTGGAAATCATCACCATGTGACCCAAAAAATAAACAAGCCACAAATTTATATTAATGGGATGGGCAGGGGATTTAGCTCAGTGGTTCTACCACTTGCTTCACAAGCGCAAGGTCTTGAGTTTGATCCCCCCAAAAAAATAAAATGAGAAATTTCAAAAAGAGCCATATAGCCATATGGCCTTAATTTGAAAGTTTATCCAAACTCATTCTTGTATTTTTGAGCAAAAATTACAAATGTGATTTGTAAACATGTTTTGATTGTCCCATAGAAAAATTTATAAAAATGTGAATCAGTTGCCAGCATTTAGGAATTTGGAGATTTGATGTAAAAATTCTAATTTCCTCTTTCTTTTGAAGAACTCCTGATGGGAACATGGGGGTGAAATAAGGGAAAAGTGGGTCACCCCTCATTGCTCCAACACTTTTCTTATCAGCACAGTGGCTTAATCAAGGTATCATGTCCACAATTCAGTGGGACCAGAATTCTCCTGTCCCTCCAGCCCCCAACCCACTCATCTGTTATACACAAGCCTTGGAGTCTTCATCTTCTGGCCCCTTGGGATAGAGTAATAACATTCAGTTACAAACTTAAAATAAGCAGTTTTTTTCCCACAAGAACAATTGTTCCTAAGTTGTAGAATGAAATAAAATGCGTACCAATGTTTCATGTTGTATTAACTGTGATCTCTGGTCCCTTGCCAGCTAAATATCTTTGTAACTGACAATCTTCAACAAAAGTACTTAAAATGCAAGTATGCATATGGATGCTTTTCTTTTCACTTACCTGTCCAATTCCAAGAACAATTGGCGAAGGGAAGCTACAAAGGACATGGAATAACAAATTAGTTTAGCAGCATATAAAAAATTGAAGATAGTATAAAAGACATAGTAACAAAAGTTTTTTAAAAGGCTTAGGTAATGGAAACATCAAATTCATTCACTTTTTATTTGTTCATATCTTTTTCATTTTTTTTTAAACTGATCATTGATTGCTAAATTTGGCAACTGTCTTTTGCCTTTTGTGGGAGAAACAGACAACAGGATTGTGTATACAGAAAAAACAAAGAATCTGATGATAAATTATTAATGTTAATAAATATAGCTTTAGAAAGGCCACTAAATACAAGAAGACCTCTATACAGAAAACTATAATTTAAAAAATTGAAGAAGACCTAAATATACGTTATAGGTTAGAAATTCAATGTCATAATGAGATCCATTATTCTGAAACTGATTTATAGAATCAAAGAAATCTCAGTACACATACTGACAGAAACTGAACACTGAAGACAAATGTCACCTAAACTAATCTTGAAAAACAGTAAATTGGAGAAATGATTCTAGTAGATGTTAATTACAATAAATGAGACTATGTGTTATGTGCACAAAAACAGTCCAACAGGACAAAAGAACAAAAAAGAGATAGGGACAGGAACACACATACATGGACACAGGATTTAGGACAAAGATGACACTGAAAGTAGTAAATACACCACCAAGAAATTTAAATATAGATCCTAATCCCTACCTCACACCATACTGAAAAGGACAGCCCATCACCTCACCCAACTCATCCAAACTCAGATCTTCTCCGACACCCACTCATTCTCTTGGACTTCTAAAAATATTAAAATATCACCAAAACATTCTGCCCTCAATCAGTATATCAAAGGGGAAACATATCTACCTCAGCAAGGCTAAGAGAATAAAGAACAAACTAGAACAAATAGACTTAATGGCTGCACAGTACCACCATGAGAATAAAACTAACTGTAGCAGGGCATGGTGATGCACGTTCTAATCCCATAATCTTAGCACTTGAGAGCCTGAGGGAGGAGGACTGCTGTGAGTTCAAGGCCCCTTCAAATTTTTATTTGTTTGTTTACTTTGAGACAGTTTCTCTCTAAATCACTAAATTGCTGAGGCAGGGTTTAAACTTTTGATTCTCCTGCCTCAGGCTCCAGAGTGCAGGGTTTACAGGCATGTGCCATCATGCCTGGCTTCAATTTTTCAGTATCACTGAAATATCTCATAATGAAATGTAGGGAAGAGGTATAAGTAATCCCCAAAATAGCTAAATAATTAAGTATGTCCCTTACTTTCTCTAATTAATTTTTGGGTTAAAGAAAACCATTAAGAAATAAATGAGCAAATAAGTAACATCTATAGTATGATTCATTTTTATAAAAAGTAATTCAACCTATGTATCTATGTCTCTATATATCCACATATTCATCCTTCCATCTCAAAAAGATGTCTGAAATTGCTGGTTAATGTCAGTTATATAAAAATTTTTAAATTTCAACCTAATAGTCCTCTTTTGTTTGAATTCTTTGAAACAATCACAACAACACATTTCAAGACTATAGCTGGGCATATGCCTGTAATCCCAGTGCTCTGGGAGGCTGAGGCAAGAAGATCACAACTTCACCTTGGTAACTTGATAAGATCCTGTCTTAAGACACCAAATAAAGGGATGAGTATGTAGGTCAGTAAGAAGGTTCTGGGTTCAGTCCCCAGGTCTGAAAAATAATTTGATTCTAAGTAGGGGGAACATGGATTGTCTTATTCATATATTTCTGCATGGAAATAACCTCCTTTTCATTTTTTTTCTTTTCTTTTTTGAGACAGCATCTCAAAATGTTGTCCAGACCGCCCTTGAACAACGGCTTCAAATGATCCTCCTGCCTCAGCTCTCTGGGATTACAGGCATGTGGCATTCTGCCCAGCTCTCTCCAGTCTTTGAACTGAACTCCTATAGATTGACTATAAAGAAGTGGAGACTGACTCTGAAGAGAGGAATTCAACATGTCCTTAGGCTGCAGACAAGGAAGCTGCAGGTGCAAAAGAGAACAGAACTGAAGGAGCCAGGAGCAGGCCGTGCACCTCCATTTCAGCAGGAAGGAGATAGAAGTGCCCCAGTGATGGTTTCTGTTTTCTCAGTAAAGGGTCACAGGAGGGAGTAGAGGAGGGAGACACCAGAGGTGGCAAGAGAAAGGAGAAAGTGTCAGTCATTCCAGAGAGGAGAGAAGCAGTAGGCAGGTAGGAGGGAGAGGCTCACAAGGTCAAAGTCAAACGAGTCAGCCAGATGTGGATTTGCACCCAAGACACTGGGAGATGCACAGTTTGGCAGTAAGCTGGCAGGTGGCCTGAGCAAGCTAAAAAGAGAGGAAGCAGCACCCAAAGGAGCCAGGGAAGCTACCTCAGGGAAGGAGAGGCAGAGTGGAGCTGTGAAAAGATGTCCTGCATCACAGATATAGAGGGCAGGAGATGAGAACAGACTGGATCAGACAGGATCCAGACAGACTATCAGAGCCTGGATACTGCAGTTAGGGAAAGCTGATGGAGTCCATGTAGAAAAGACCACAAAGAAGTCATGAACTTGGTCACCAGGAGATCAAGAGACAAAGGGAGCAGAAATGCCAGGGTGTGGACAAAGCATGATCAGGGGGAATAGGAGTACCCAGTCCCACTTCCTCCTGTGCAGTGCGACAGAGACACACCTGTATCCAAGGAGCTTGCCAGGGTTTCATCAAGCTAAGAGAAACATGGGAGGTGTTCCTTAGTACAGACTCCGCCTCACAGCCTGCAGATACCCATTCAGGGGATTTTCTAAAAACCTTCCTGCAGGCTCAGAGCCACTGTGGGAAGGATCCCAAAGCCCTCACGAAGGTGATGAGACACAAAATAAACACACAGGGCCGGGGATTTAGATCAGCGGTTCGGTGGCCTGCCTTGCAAGCACAAGGACCCGAGTTCAATCCCCGGTACCAAAAAATAATAATAATAAAAAAATAAACACACAAAGCCAGTGCTAAGCAAGTATCTGTCAAACTGAATACAATCAAGAATAATACATTTATTAAGCATCCTCAGGCCAGGGATTTAGCTCAGCTGCAATGCACCTGCCTTGCAAGCCCAAGGTCCTGAGTTTGATCCCCAGAACCAAAAAAAAAGAATTAATGCATGCTAAGTAAATTCTCTCCTGCCACAGAGAACAGCATTAAAATGAGGGGGAAAAAAAATCACAACGTCAGACCACCTGCAGCATCCTCATGAATTTGAACCCAGACCAGCAGGACACAGACTTTCAGATGACCTGACTTTTCCTCTACTCCCTCAGGGTCTCATAGTTCACTTTCAAAGGTGTCTTTTCCTAGCCAGGTAAATCTAGCATAACAACAAACTACAACTAGGATCACCCATCTGTTTTGTACCCCAACCAGAAAAAATCTGTCCAAAACAGAAGAGAAAAACATCCCTAGAACCTCATTCCCATAACTGTGTATTAGACAACTATCAAGAATTCCTTCCTTCTGTTCCCCAGCATTACATTCTGTCCTCGAACAGCTAATGCTTGATCCCATTTCTATGGTTTACTGCTAATACCAAATCTGTCCAGGTCTCCTCCCCTCAAAAATGTGTGCCTATGTTCAATCTTCTTTTGACAACAGTAGTACTGGTCACCCGAAAGAAGCCCTTTTGATAGCACTCACTTGTTTCTAGTTGCAGATGCTGAAGCCTTCTTTTTCCTTCTTTAGCTTGCACTATATGTGTTAAATGATCGAGGCTTAAGTGTGTGTTCATTTTAATTTCTTTGAGGCAGCATTGTGCTTCCTGTGAATATCAGAAGCAAGCTGCAACACACAGGGCCTGTTATGCTAAAAACCTGTGTGTTGAAGGTTCGGTCTCTGATACAGCCGTGTTCTGAGGTGAGCCCTCTGGGAAAGTGACTGGATCCTGAGAGCACTGACCTCATCAGTGCTGTATTCCACTAATGGGTTCATACTATATAGGCATGGGGAGTGGCCTTTGTTCTAAAATGGATATATTCATATATTCTCTCTCTCTCTCTCCCCTCCCTCTCTCTCTTCTGTCTCTGTCTCTCTGTCTCTCTCTCTCTCCCTCTCCCCCCGCTCTCTCTCTGCCTCTTCCATCCCTCCTCTCCTCTCCCCCACTACTTCTGGCCATCTTGGAGTAAGCTCCTCTGCCTGACCACACCCTCCCTGCCATGATGCCCTACCTCATATACCCCAGGCCCATGAACAACAGAGCCAAGTTGTCTTGACCTGAAACCTCTGAAACTGTGAGCCAAAATAATTATTTTTCTCTTTTTAGATTGTTTATTCACAGGCATTTTGTCATAGCAACAGAAAGCTAACACAAGACCCCAGAAAGAGTATCAATAGCAGGACCAAGGGTATAGTGAAGTGTATGGACACTCAGAACATGTGCTTGGCATGCGTAAGGCCTTGGGTTCAAATCCTAGCATCATAACAACAAAAACTGACAGCTGCAGAACTACCAAAATGTACCCAAAATCCACACCTTCCCTTTATAGCTGCCAGCCACACCTACCCAGTTCAGCCCACCACAGTGCTACTCCTGGCCCCTCTCCATAATACAATACAGTCCCATCAGCTCTCAAAATATCCACCAGACAAAATAACTCTAATCATATAAATTATGTCTTTCACTCCCAGGCTAAAACCTTCCACAGGACTTCAACTAAGACTAAAATTGAAACTACTGATCACAATCTCCCTGCTCCACCTTGTCCCTCAGTATCTGCTTTCAACACAACAGCTCCTCAGGTCTGGGCTAAAGGTCACCTTCAGATTTCTACTGGCCAATAACTCGATAACCATACTACTTAATGAAGCCTCCCTAAAAGGACAATGGGTGAGCAGGTTCCCTGGAGAGATGACCCAGGGTAGTGTTGGGAGTGGTACCTGTACAGGCCTAGGTAGCTCCAACCCCCGCCAGCCCATCTCTTCACTGGTTATGTTCATCTATATCCTTTGTAGCATCCTTTATAATAAAGACAAGGGGTCAGTCAAATGTGGTGGCACACCAATAACTTGAGCTACCCAGTGTAAGACCTAAAGTCTCACTTCCACTCCATGGAGCGTGAACAGCCAAAAGGCCTCCACGATGCTGGGCCCTAACACCCAACGAGGCTCCGGGAACATGACAGAGAACCGAGAAACCCAGGAAGGAACACACCAGGCTAGATGGTAAAGAGACCTTTATTAGTCTGGCCAGACAGCACTCCCGGAGCCAGGTGGCTCAGAGAGGCAACTGCTCAGGGGCTGAGGTACTTTTTATAAGGTTTTTCTAAACAAAGAGTCAGGGAATTCACAGAACAAGACTGCAAACACATTGCTTATCTTATGCAGGAAATGTTCTAGGGTCACCTTTTGTCAAACCATTTGCCCCTGGGCGGGCTGTTAACCAAGGTAGCAATTAGCATATGAAGAAGCACAGTCTGGCCTCTTAGCATGGAGTCACTTTAGCCTATTCAAGTCTTACACCCAGGACCCTGAAGCTAGAGGATCACAGGTTCAGGACCAGCCTGGGCAACCTGGTAAGACTGTCTCAAAAAGCCAAAAGGACTGGAGATGTATAGCTCAGTGGGAGAGTATTTGTCTAGTACACACAAGGCCCTGGGTTCAATCCCTAGTACCATCAAAAGGAAAAATGTCACCTCCAGCTTTGTGAGGCTTCAGTTACCATGTTATTTAAAACTACATTCTTTCCTTGCTCCCTTTTCTTCCCTTCTAAAACCCTGGCCATACATAATGCAAATGGCTAGATGTGGTGGCTCATGCCTATAATCCCTGCACTTGAGACTGAGGCAGAAGGATCACAAACTCAAGGCCAGCCTGGGCAATTTGGAGACCTTATCTCAAAAAAAAAAAAATTATGGGCTGGGGATTTAGCTCAGTGGTGCTGTGGCCTTCCTCATGAGCACAAAGTCAAATTCAATCCCCAGTACCCCCCCCAAAATGAAAATCCTAAATTCAGTCCTCAGTACTGTAGGACTGCATAATTTGTAATCCTAAATTCTTAGTCTCAACTGTGATTAATGTAAATTAACAGATGAACTTTAGTAGTTCTGGGTGAATAGATAAGATTGTTTCACTCCTTGTCTGCCCGGAAGGAATGTTCTGAAAACCTTGGGAAATTCTGCAAGCATATGTTAACCAACAACACGTGACTGCCAGTGCCCCCTGCCTATGTGCTTTGAGTATAGACCCCCACCCTGCCTATCCCTTTATAAAAACAGCCTAAGCCCCTGAGCTGATTCCTCTCTGAGCTGCTTGGCTCCGGGGGTGCTGTTTGGCCAGACTAATAAGGATCTGTTTTCCAACTAGTCCGGTGTGTTCCTTCCTGGGTGATTCTCACTGCTCGTCAAACTCCTGGAGCAATTGCTGGGCTAGAGGCCCAGCATCTTGGAGGCCCTTTGGCTGTTCAAACTCCTGGAAGTAAGGCCCTAGGTCTTACACCTGGAGCAATCAGTGGGCTATAGGTCCAGCGTCTTGGAGGCCCTTCAGCTGTTCAAGCTCCTCGGAGTGGAAGTAAGGCCCTAGGTCTTACAGTACTGCCCTGGTTTATTGTTTAGTTTCCACCCCTGAAACTCAATCTCCAGACCTCAGGCTCTGTGCTGTTCACAGCTGCTCTCCTGTTGCTGTCAGTGGGCTCAGCACACACTAGGTACTCAGTAAACATCTGTGAGCGATTCGTGTGGGTCTGTTTCCTCAAATATAAAATGAAAAGGCTGGAAACCCTTTTGTGTCTGTCTCTACATTCTCTGAAATGGTGATTTTATGGTCGTTTTATAGCACAGTAGTTTCCAGAGCTCTCATGCTGACAGCTCACACACAGCCTTGCAATAAGTGCCCATTTTCCCAGACTGAGGAACTTGCTGACCAGTCTCAAGAAGTAGACCTATTAACTGCCAGGAATGGGTTTAAACTCATGGTTCTTACAAGACTTCTGGGGCACCAGCAGAACTAAACAGGATTTTCTAGTTCTTACAAAAAGGTTCACAGAAGCATGAGTTTGCAGATTTACTTCTCACTAATCACAAAACACCCTGCACAACCAGGACAGGAGGGAGTGAGAAGGGAAGGGAAAAGGGATGTAAAAAGAATGAAGATGTGTTCTGCACATTGTCAGGAGCCATTCTATATGATTTTGGGGAATCATTTCATAATTAAATCATGATTAGGCCCTAGTTTTCCTGTCCACAGGTTACCCGACGGTGCTGCTCCAGGCAGGACTACACCAGCTGGAGACATCCAGGGAGGAACCAAATCTTCACCAAAGTTCCTCATTGTTCTAGGATCATCACCCCGCCCTCTGAGTCAATTGCTGCTTGTTTGGCTGGTGTTCTGAATAAAGGTGTGACAAGCTCTGGATCTGGTGTCTTTGCTGCCCAGGGCAGCATGGATTGGGCCAAAACTCAGCTTCTTTAAGTCTTATTTTCTGTGCATATATTAATTTGCCTTGTGCTGTCATAGCTGGCAGGAGACTAGGACCTGATGCAGAGGTTCTAGTAACCTTTACCTGTCCCCCACAGTACATGTACCACCTCCCCACATTCATTTACTGTAATCATATACTGCAAACGTGTATTAATTAAAAATTAAATTAAGGGCCGGGGATTTAACTCAGTGGTTCTGCAGCCTGCCTTGCAAGCACAAAGACCTGAATTCGATCCCCGGTACGAAAAAAAGAATAAATAAATTAAAACCCCGGAATCATACGAATTTGTCATTGTTTACCCTGGACATGCTGATTATCTGGGAAGGACTGGTCAAGCAATACAGACTTAGGGGATCAAAGCTGATCTGGTTGTGGATCCTGTAGATCTGAATCAAAACCGCTCGCTCTAAAATCCACCCTGAATGGATCCCTCCTCCAGCTCGGTGGCGCGCACAGGAAAGCACGTGACTGTGGCTCTCCAAGCCCAGCCCTGCAACAGCGACTCTGTCAGTCTGACTGGAGTTCCTGACCCACGGTGGAGTCCTGGTCTGGCACCCACCCGGTCCCGGACCCTGCCCGCCTTACCCGTAAGCGGTCAGCAAAGCCTTGTTGAGCAGCACAAGGAGCAGGGAGCAGGCGCCATAGAGCAGCGCGGACAGCAGCCGGGCGGCGCCGGAAGGCAGCAGCTCAGCGCCGGTGGCCATCATGGTCAAATCGGCGCTGCGCCCACACAACGCCCAGCCAGGTCCTCGGCCCCTCCCCACCCCGGCCAGGAAGAGGGCGCCGCCGGGCAGGAACAGGAAGGACCGCTCTCCAGCCCAAGCCTGCCTGCAGATCTGGACTTCACCCCCGGGATCCAGGCACCGCCTGCTGACTCTGGAGCCGGAAAGCGTTGGGGAGCGAGCGGGTTGGGAAGGAACCCTACCTGCCTTAGACTCCACACAAGCCGCAGGTTATGTTTTGCTCCCTCCGTCCCTTCTTCAGTACTTAGTTTAATGTATAATTTACATACAATTAAATGAAACCTTACGTGTACAGTTCGGGGTTTGAGACAAGATCTCTGTAAATTGCCCAGGCTGGGCGATTCTCTTGCATCAGCCTCTCAGAGTGCTGATTACAGACAAGCGCCACTGTGTTCGGCTCGGCCGACAGTTATGAGTTTTAATAAATGCATATATCGTAATAATCGCTCAAATCACAACAAAACATTTCCACCAACGACCAAAAGTTTCCTTTGCGCCCCTTTGAAGTTAATCCTCCCATCTCATTGCCATTTCTGTAGATTTGCCCCATTTTTTCAAATTCAGTGTAAATGGGATGCTTTTCTAGGATTTAAGGAATTTTAACTCCCTTGATCATCCTTACCACTCATCATTTTTCTGTTTTGAGTGGTATTTGTTTATCCAGTCACCAGGTGATGGGCATGTTGGTTGTTTCCAGCTTAGGCCTATTACGGAAAATGCTTTCTAAACATTCTTGAACACATGTACAGACCCACTTCATTTCTCTTTGATAAACACCTAGGATTAAGTCTCAGGGCTTCTGGTGCCTCTTTATGGCAGGTTCTGTTCTTACCCAAAGGGATAGAAATTGGCATCTGCAGTTCTATTCAAAGAAGGAAACCTTCCAGGACAGTCTGAGTCTGGCTCTTCTAGCAATTTTTAAAGCAAGTGTTTCATATTTTCATTCCAAGTAGTTAACTTTAAAAATCTGAAATTTTACCTTTGTAGAAAGGCGAAATGTTTCTAGTGGAAGTCAAGTGTAACTGTATAAATGCCAAGACAACTGCTTTCCTACTCTAGCCATTGAACAACCAAGAGACTAAAAACAGAAACGTTTTTGGCTCTAATAAGGGAACTAAAGTAGAACTTTTGAAAAGGGCCCAAATTATCCAATAAGAAAGAACAGATACATAGGTCTGTTTTAAAATAGAAAATATTCATATTCAAGTTGAACCAAAATTGGAAAAAAATCATTCTGAAGTCACCACTAAAATCCCATCTTTATCCTGTTCAAATCACAACAGTAGAGTTCTTCGTGACATTCTTTTTCCTTCCCTTTCTGCAAAGCCCAGACAGAATGACCTTTGTCATTGCAACTGTTCAATTAAAGATATTCCAAAAAATAACTGATGCAAAAAACCAATTTGCCAGACTCAACACATTAGGCATAGAAGTGAGGTACAATCCCAGTTCCTGATTGCCCTATTTAAGGCTGGCTGGAAGTTTAATACTTGCCTACACCAGTGTAGTAAAACACTGTAATAATGAACCACGGAAGGAGTTCGAATATATGTAATCTAAAAGGACAGAATTTTAATATAAGAAAAATAATTCACACTCACATTGCAACTGTACAAAAGAGATGCCTGGGATAAGAAAGACTGGAGTGAACTATAAAAATATGCACCAAAATAATACTGGTCAAAGAATGGAGGGCTGAGCATCATGTTTCTATCTTTTAAAATTTTTATATCATAGTTATATTGACAGAAAAATAAATTATAAAACTTCAAGAATGACTATGTATTTTTAAACTTTAAATTAAAATAAATTTTATTCAAAGCATCTTTTAAAATTACAGCATTTTTATTCTATGCTGTTAACTCTGCCAAACTACAACTTAGCCGTATGAAGCACAAAACACTTCAAAAATTTGAATGTAAACCACATTTTTAAAACAAAAAGCAGTCTTAACACACCTCAAATTTTAGACACCAATATAGCTTATATCAAGAGAAACTTTTAAATGTTTGTAAAGAATTTCTTTGTAATAATTTCTTAAACTGTTCCAATTATACAAGTAAAAAATATTTGTGAATATAACTATTATGGTTTACAAAAGCTGACTGGAGAAACAAACAAAAATCCTTGTTTTTTGAAGTCCTTAGATTTTTATCTATGAACTGACAAATATCTATGCTTTTAAAGTTTTTATTGCCCTTCCTTCTTTAGATGTCTATCAGATTTTTAATTTCCCAAGACTAACCGAGTATTGCTTTTCAGTTCATATAAATTATACTTGACAGGAAAAATTCTAGATTAAATGTTGAAACCTAAACCAGGAAAATTCAGATGCTATGGTCTGTTACCATGCTTTATAAGTGCTCCAAGTTAAAACTCTATATACCAAATTACAAACAGAATTCTTAGACCATTACAAATATAAATTTTCTTATTACAAAAATTCCCTAAAGATCTGTAATTTACTGTACAGAGGAATTGTATTTTTAAAGTATGTCCTCATCATACACATTATTTCTGTCATATCTTTTTTCACACTTTCCGCTTCTCTTCAAGACATTTACATGGCTCCTCTTCCCCAGGGCTACTCATCTGAAATTACCTGTGTACTGCCACAATTCAGGACTTTTGGGTAAGAAGCCTACATTCCAGGTAACATATAAACTACATGTGGAGGGTATCACTTCAACTCGAAGAAAAAAGGAGTGGAGGAGCCCATATTTCCCTCTAAATTGGAGATTTACTCCAATTAAGCAATCTATAAATTACCATGGTATGCATGTCCTTTTCATTCAGCTTACAACAAAAGCTCACGTGATAGAGGTTTTTGCTTATAAAAAGGAGGTGGCCTGCTCCGTTTTTGATATTTCTGTTACACTTCAGTACATATAAAGTGGTGTTTATTAACTTCATCTATTTGAAAAAAAAAATGGTTTTAAACCATCACACAAGTTAATACACTTGCAGTTAAAACTATCCCAGAAATCTACATATTTGAGTAGCTATTATTTTCTTCTGTGTTTAACTGATAGCTAAATTTAGTGAACACAAAATAGCTTGGCATGTTATCCTGAAGTAAAGCAGAAGATGGCTTTATGCACTGAAAATATAAATATGGAGGCTTCTGTTTGCTAATCATTCTAAATAAGCAGTACAATTAAAATTTAGTGTTTGCTAACAAAGAGCTAAAACATTTCACTACAAAACAACCCTGTAGATGTCCCTTTTATTAATAAAAATCCAAGTGCCAAATCTCATTACAGGGCCTATCACATATATAAAAAACACCAAGTCCTATGTTACCTAGACTTTGCAAGATTAATCACTCAATTTTCAGCGAATGAGAAATGTGAAATGTGCAAAAGTTCCCAAATTAACATGCAAGGGATGACAAGTGCTTTTCAAACTGAAACATTATAGTGGGGTAGAATAAGACTGATTTTTCTCCAATTTTCAAAATCCTGAACTATTGTATTATCTTACCAAGATCCTCAAATATATATTTTCTTCCAAGTCCTTAGCTTAGAACATTTTCCCAAATAGCTTCTCATTTCTCTAGCCTTATTGGGCATGCTATTATGCAATTTAAAAATACATATCTTACAAACACATTTTATACTGTCTTGCTTCAGTGTTTACAGTATTGTTAAAACACACTAATATACATTGTTAAAAAATGATCTTATAAATAATCTATGTCAATCTTCTTTGGCTCTTTGTACCATTTTCTGTTTTTTCACACAAGTGTCTTATTCAGAAAGTGCTTCCTGTGAGAACTGCTTCCAATGAATGCATTAAACTTGCAAAATCTAGCTTCCCACAATATGTAGTTTTCTACCCTGTATGGTACAGTCCATATTTACAAAATAATTTTAAACTTTACATCCAATCCATTTCCATATAAAAAAGTGCAATTCTCTCTCACCCCAGTTTCTGAGGTAATGACATTCTTCATAAATTCTACAGAATAGCAGCCTAGGATAAGCAAGTAAGGTGCTTAGCTTCTGCCTGGCATCAGCTACTGGCGCAGTGGTGCACCAGTCAGGTTGGCCAGCTCGATGAGTGCCAGTGCCCCATGCAGCCGCTCACGCTGCTCCTGCAGCCGCTGCTGAGCGACACTCTTCTCATCGTCCTCACCATCCGACTGCAGGCACTCCAGCGGGTCACGCTGCTCCTGGTCCGCCTTGGGCGCCAGCTTGCCCTTCAGGGTTGGGGCACGCTGCTCCCGCATCTCCCAGTACCTGTGTGAAAAGCCAAGAGCTGTCACATGGCATACAGCACATCCTCCACTGTACTCTTCTTTTAAAAATAAAGCTCTTCTGGGGCACAGGTTTAGCTCAGTGGTGCTGCCACCTGCCTTGAAACGCAAAGTCCGGAGTTCAATCCCCGGTACCCAAAATAAACAAATAAATAAATAAATAAAGCTTTTCAATAGAGTATTGCTTTTCTGTATTTCAGTTCATAAAGTGCTAAAGTGACTTCGCATACCTCACATACATCTGCCACTGATAGAGGTAAAAATTCTTATGCAAAGAAGTGAAGACTCATGCTCTGGCTTTGGCAATCAAAAGTAGTGGTGACCCAGATGGTGTATCAACTCTCACTGCGTTTCTGTCAGTAGCTGTGGCTGCAAACTAGGGGTAGTTCAGCTGTACCCCACATATGCAGAGCCCTGACTTCCACCACCAGAATGGGAAAAAATAAATATATTGCTGCCTTAGGGCTCAAATGGGAAAACACTAGAGTCAAACAGAAAGTTGTTTTTTTTTTTTTAAGTCATTAGAAATCTATCTATCCTGCCCACCAATAGTAACTTCTACCCACTGACTGTAAAACATTAAACAAACATGTGAAAAGGGATAAATATCCACAACAGTTTATTAAAAACCTACAACCAGCACCCCTATTACAAAGCAAACTAGTAATTCACACAAAAAAAATAAATGCACACATTGAATGTTTTTGGTATCTACAAATCCCAGCTGCTCAGGAGGCTGAAGTGAGAGGATCATGGGCTGCCCACTCTCAGTGATGGCAAACCTTCAGAGCTTTCAATAATACAGTCAGCTACAGCACAGGTTTGCCACCACTGCACTGCAGCAGCAGCAGCAGAAGCGGAAGACGAAGAAGAAGCAGAAGCAGCAGGAATAGGAGGGGGAGGAAGAAGAGAAGAAGGAAAAGCAGCAGCAGAAGCAATTTAGAGAAATTCATTATTTAAATGACAGTACTACTGTATCAATCCATGGTAGAGTGCTTACCTAGCATATGCCAGGCCCTGGGTTCCATCCCCCGTAAGACAAAATAACAAACAAAAATGTCCATACAAAGCCTTGTCTATTACTGTTCATAGCAGCTTAACTTGAAATGGAGAAAAAAAAAGTCTGCCAAGGTGTATGCATGTACTAGACACTACCAACAAAAGGCATGAATTGTTGATGCACTAAACATGGATGAACCTCAAAATAATTATGTAGTCAGATAAACCAATACATACTGATTACATTTACCTAAAACTCCAGGAAATGAAAACTAAATGACAGTGTCAGCAGATCAGTGTTGTCTGGAAAAAAGCAGGGTAGAGAGGTGAAACAGGAGGGAATCCAGAGGAGCATGAGGGTTTGGAAGTGATGGGTATGTTCACTGTCTTGAGTGGGTGATGGTCTCTTGCTGTAGGCATAGACAAAATCTATCAAATTGAACATTTTGAATTTATTTTATGTCCATTATACCCTAAAAAGTTTTTTAAATCATGTATAAAAAATGGTAATAAACTACCAGATTTCAGGAAATCTAGTCAAACCAAGAAAGTACTGGCAAGACATAGAGGCATAAAAGCACTAACTGAAGTTATTTCAGTATGATTTGAGGGGTGACTAGAAAAGAATGGCAACAGATATATGTTAACCCCAAGCACCAGGAAATGATGGTCATATACAGGTCATATAATGACTGCCATATACAGGACTTTTTTTGAGGATGAGAATGACATCCTCTAGCCACAGCAGAGAATGGATTGGGAGGGGTCAGGTGGCTAAGCTGTAGTTAGTAAAGGAGGCAGAATCCACAGTCTAGTCACTGAGTAAATGGAAGAGAAGATAAAGACAAGGACAACTAATAGATTTTGTTTCAGCAAAATTAGAGATTATGCAACTGTATAAATCAACTATGAGGAAGAGAAGTGTGATGATTTGTATATGGTATGAGTACCCCTAAAGGTTCGTGTTGTGGAAGTCTAATCCCCAGTGTGGTGATGCTGGAGGCAATGGAACCTTTACGAGTGGGGCAAGGTTATTATCAGGTCACAGATGCCCTCAGAAGGGATTAATGAAGCTGTCTCAGGACTCCATTGGTTCCCACCAGAGTTCACCATTATAAAGAGTGAAGGTGGCCCCTGAGTCTTTCTGGCTTCCTGTCTCAGTTTCTTTCTCATGTGCTCCTGCCATTGTGATGTGGCCCTCACTAACAGCAGATGGGGCAAATACCTGATCTTGGCTTTTCTATTTCCAAAACTGTGTGCTAAATAAACCTTTTATTTATAAAATACCCAGCTTCAGTTATTTTTTTATAGCACCAGAATGGACCAATATAAGGAGAATGGAAATGACAGAAAAATTTAGTCACATTCCAGCCAGCTTGAACCATTAGTGGTACATGTAAGAGTGTCCCACTGGGCAGTTTGAACCACCAGTGCTTAGCTATTTAATATCAGGCAATGGATTCAAATCAGAGCCACCTGGCAGTGAGACGTGAATTACAACACTGTTGTGAGCTTGTTAAGGTACACACACAGAACAACCTACTCAAACAGAAAGTTTCTGTGGCAGTGCTAACCAATTTCCCTGTACGTGTATAATCAAAGTACATTATCAGAGTTCATCATATGATTCTTGTGCATTTTATCCACAAAAACATGGCATTTGCTCATTTGAATATTAAGGCCCATAAACTATGGGCCCTAGAGTTATATAAGCAGAGACAAGACAACTCTGGTCTTATTGGGCTTCTGGTCAGCAAGGGAGGCAGTGAAACAGGTAAATGTGTGTGTAACAGATGCTGTGAAAGGAGAAACACGGTGTTGTAGAAGCACCTACTATGTGGCTCCAAGGCTGGCTGTTTTGGGGTTAGTGTGGTCAGGGCAGCCTTCCTGAAGCCAGGTTTAATCTGAGTAAAAAACAAAGTGAACCACACAAGGTGGCGCATGCCTGGAATCCCTGTACTCTGAGAGGCTAAGGCAGGAAGATGGCAAGTCAAGCCCAATCTGGGCAACTTGGCAAGACCCTGTATCAAAATAAAAGATGAAATGGGCTAGGGACATAGATCAGTGCAGAGGCCCCAGACTAACAAAGAAAGAAAAAAGGTAAGGAAGGAGGGAGGGAGCACCCTAGGCAAAGGGAGGAACATGACAGTCTTGAAACAGCAGCAGCCAAGATACTCAGAAAGCAGCAGCTCCTGTGGCACGTCAGTTGCATTCCCAAAGGGCAAAGAACTGCTGCAACTCAGAGAGAAGCTGTGGACGTGATCTTAATGCACAAGCAGAGAAGCTAGAAGGATGGTGAGCTGCTGCTGGCCTGTCCACGGTGGATGAGTCCCTAACATATTTATGCAAAAATGTTCCATATTTTGAACACCCATAACAATGGGACACAATTAAAATGTTTCTGTTCCTCGAATTTTTCTAGGTAATACTAATTTCATGCAAATATTCAAAAAAATTGCAACCTTCTACATAAATGGTTAAATCAAATATTCATAGAGAAAAATGTTATACTGCTCCCCCCTCATTGCCATTAGAAAAAAATTAAATTGGGTGCTTTTTGGAACTTACATGGGAAAAGTCTCTAATTCATGTCCCTGTTATCACCAGCACATAGCTAACTCTAACATAAAAAAATGAAGAGGTTGCACAACTTCTGACAAATGAAATCTAATGTACCCAAAACACTTTCAAAATGGGAAAACATTCTAGACCTGGTGGCGCACACCTGTAATACCACTTGAGAGACTGGGGTAGGAGGATTGCTGTGAGTTTGATGTCAGCCTACACTACATAGTGAGACTCAACTCTCAAACCCCACTACCACCCACTGCAAAAAAAAAGAGGAAAATACTTCTTTCTAAAATAAAGTGTAGGGTCACCTCAGCAGCACATGATTTAAAACTAGGACAGAAACAGCATAGCCTGCCAAGTATGATAAGCAAATTTTTAAAGTGCTCTATATTTTTGACAGTGAAAAAAAAAAACGAAACCTAATTATTTTATAATTTTCTATCCTGCACAGATCCTAATACCACTCGTAACAATTCTGTAAATAAACAGCTTTTGTGCATTATTTTATTAATGTCTAAAAGCAACTTATTTAAAATGAGAATCTAGGGTGGGGGATTTAGCTCAGTGATGCTACCATTTGCCTTGTAAGCACAAGGTCCTAAATTTGATCCTAGGTACCCAAAACAAAAAAACAATAAAATGAGAGTCTAACCCAAACCTCAGCCCAACAGGAACCTGCACAGTCGCCCAGCATCAGGAGCCTTACTTTGCCAGCCACTCAGCAGCAGCCTTGTTGTCCGCAGCCTGGTGCTTGCTGAGTGCATCTGTTGGCTCCTCTCTCCTCAGTCTGGCATAAGGGTGCTTAGGACAGTGGCGGTTTGCATGAGTGAATCTGCTCAGGCAGCCTTTAAAACAGAGAGGGAAACACTTGCTAGAATGTGGACAACGGTAGACATATTAAAATGTTCAGTCACATTGGTATTCAGGAAAAGTAAAATGAGAAGGAAAGATTTGGCATTCCAGAACCAAGCACACCTCTGCACAGCCTCAATGCCAGTGAGGGACCAGAGGACCCAACATGGTTACTACCATGTAAATGTGTCCAATCCCACAGGAAACACAAGTCATACACATCTCAAAATTTCTGACCCAGGAACTCCAATTCCTAGCTTATCCTAAGAAAACATCCCCCAAAATAAAGCTGAAAGTGTGAAAACATTCCCCTTGGCTTTGCTGGTAATAAGCATATTTTTATAACAGATATTCAGGATTTAATATTGAAGTAATCACATATGCTTATGCAAATTCATTAGATGAAACATTTTCTAACATTTATAACAGTAATCAAGAATCTAGAGAAACAGGACAGAACTGAATTGAATTTCAAATATTACTGCTTAAAAAAATCTTTAGAAATTGTGATGAAAGGTCACCTAAGAAAAGATCACCTTGAGACCTTATCGAGTGCAATAAATCAGACACACAATCTTAAATACCACAGTTTTTCTTATATGAGAAACCCAAAGTATAAATAAACTAAAAACCAAAATAAAATATAAATAAGAGGAAACAGGGAGAGAGATCTTTTGCAAATGGGAAGGGGATCAAGAGATGGAGGGAGGAGGGGAGGAGGACAATGGAAGGGAATGTAAAAAGAATTAAGATGTGTTATGTACATGTACCAACTCCCCAAAATATGATAATATAATCATTATGTAACTGCAAACGTACTAATAAATGTAACAAAAGGAATAAAATAATTTAAAATATTAAAAAGATCACATGCTTATCTCAGTTTAATAGTTAAAAAATTTAAAACCAACACAAAGGCCTACTCTGAAGGCTTTATTTACTTCTACAGATTTTTCCACTCCCTACAATTGGATATAGTTATTAATTACCTTTTACGGTTTCCATTTAAAAAGAACACTGTATTTGAAAATCATTTCCACAAAATTCAGCATGGATCACTGCAAGTAAAATGTATTTTTACTATTAACTCATTACTAGTTATTCCACAACTTAACTTCTACAACCATACCATTTTCTGAACAAACAAAAGGCTTCTCTCCGGTATGGAGACGCTGATGTGTTTTGAGCTGTCCACTCTGAACAAAGGCTTTTCCACAGTCCGGATAGTCACACAGATAGGGCCTCTCACCTAAGGAGACAGAAGTTGTATTATATCCAAGATTGTAAAAAGGAAGGGGTGGGGAGAAAAATGACCCTTCTATAGGTCTTACTCCAATGCAACAGTATATATGTAACAGAGCCAGTGGACAGGCTACTGGCAGCCCAGCATCAGCTCTTCTGGGGAGCATAGTGTTTCATTCAGGCCTTGAGATTTTAGGAACCTAGGTTTAAAGTCCTTGTCATGATCATCTCCAGCTTATCCCAGACTGTTCATTCCCCAAAATCCAAACCACTAGTTCTTGCTGATTCTTTACATCTCCCACTTTTTATTTTCTCACCTATCCAGAATGGACCCTCCTAGCTATCCCCTAAACCATCACAAATGCCAACAGTGCCTCCTGGACAATTAAAAATAGCACGTCAAGAAGTTGTAAATGGTCTAATACTGCATTATGCAGTCTCACCAACTTTATCAGCTACTGGGTGGAAGTAAGGAATATCTTTATTTCCTCTCTGTAGTCATCTCAGCTAGGAGGCAATTTCTCCTCATCCTGCTCTAACACTTGAAAATCTCATGTTGCCCATCTGAATCTTTCCAGTCCCACATGCTCCTGAGTGACTCTTCCGACCTCCCTATACATCATGATGTCCCTGCTAAGATTCCTGTCTTATATTTCATTTAAATTCCCACAGACAAGACAATGCTAGGCTCCAATATGTGTTCCACAATGTTGTTCAATAACTAAATTTATTATTTCTTGAAAGAAATTTCTGGTGGTCACAGTACTAGAGGTTGAATCCAGGGCCTTCACGATGAATCACACCTTACACCTTATTTTGTTTTTTGGTTTCAGGGATCAAACTCAGGGCCTTGCACTTGCGAGGCAGGCGGCACCACTGAGCTAAATCCCTGGCCTTCTTTTATTTTGTTTTTGAGACAGGGTCTAGGCTAGGCTTAAACTGACCCTCCTACCTCAGCCCTCCAGAGTGCTAGGATTACAGGCATGCACTACCACACCCAGCTTGTAAAACCCATTCTTTAACCAACAATACATTAGTTCTTCTGATATGACCCAAAGAACAATAATAACAAATTCTTCCCAAACTTCTCATCATTTAGCAACAAAGTAGTCATGATAGGTAACTATAACTTATAGGAAATAGGGGCATTACTTAAAATAGTAAGAGAAAAGCTTTTGACGAAGCACATGCTATACAGCTTAACTATCCTTAGGGATAGTTCCCTGGTATACAGTGCAACAGGCTAAGGTCTAGAAGGATCAATAATACACACTGTAGGAGTGGCAGAATACAGGTAAGACTACACTGTCAACATTAAGGCCCTGGTCTTGAATCCTCCCAGTGCCAACAAGTGCTCTCTGACCTGAAAACCAGTTATCTGAGGGGGACTTCAGGTAAGGAAACTACTAGAAACCATATTAAAATATATCTTGGGGCCAGGGATTTAGCTCAGCAGTTCAGTGGCCTGCCTTTGCAAGCGCAAGGACCTGAGTTCAATCCCCAGTACCAAAAAAAAAGAAAAAAGAAAAAAAAAAATATATCTTTTCAAAACCAAAAGAAAAAAGTAACAAAGGAGTGATGAGCACAGTAGGAAAAAAAAAAGGGTTTTAAAGTTGAAATCCTAGACCAGTACTGTCCAGTAGGAATATATCACAAACCACAGGTGCAAGCCACATTAGAAAAAGAAAAAGAAAACCAGGTAAAACTTTTTTTTTAAATATGCCTATTTAATCCAGTTTATCCAAAATATTGTCATTTCAATACATAAGAATTACAAATGAGATTGTTTCCTCTTTTACTAAGTACATTTTACACTTACAGAGCATCTCAGTTTAGACTCACATTTCGAGTGCTGAAGCAGCACATCTGCTGGTAACTACTGTACTGGGGCGGAGCTCTAGAGTTAGGGTTCAGCTGACTGTAGGCCGGTGGTAACTGATTTTCTGGTTCTTCAGTTTTCCTGTATGTGGATTATTAGATGAACTACAAGATTCCTTCCTCTGGGATCAAATTACAGAAAGAACAAGCCTCCTGTATAAATAAGTTTTTGGCTCTGCTAAATGGTTTTAAAAATACAAGTATAATTCCTACATACAAAAAGAGATTTATGATAATCTTGGGATAGCCTGTTGACAATACACTTAATTCTGAAAATTCAGTTTATGGTAGACAGACTTGATGGTTAGAGCAAACATTTTGAGGGCACACAGACCACTCAAAAAATTCTCTTTGAAAATGTGACAATTACAGTTTTAATTTTGGCCTACAAATCAATTTTTATGATCACACACATAAATTAAGAGCATATCAAATAAATATCAGGTAGGCAGAGGGTAGGACTAAATTTAATTGTAACCTCACCGTGACACCTGGATTAAGTACCATGATAACTTTAGGAATCACATGGAACCAGTATTAGAAGCCCAACTCCTCAAACAAAAAGAATCTAACTACCCAGGGCTTGTTTTTAAAATTCATAAAGTGGCAACACAGGATATAGAAGACGACAAAAAAATAATTTATAAGCCCAAACACCAAATTAGCTTTAAGAAAATTAAGTATTATCCTCTAGAAATGGCTTATACGTGCTCGATTTACCTGTGTGAGTCCTCTTGTGAGCCTGGAGTGACTTCTCCCGCGGAAACACCCTATTACAGATGTTACAGCGAATCCTGCTGGAGGAATGCTCTCCTTCATTGATTAAATCCTGCACAGTATCTGCTCTGGGTCGGCCACGTCGAATTCCATCCTGTTAAAAAAAAATTTGTATAAACCTTAGTATAAATTATTGAACTCTACTCATTAAAGTGGCATATTTTAAAAGATAAAAATCTTTCTTGAATGATATCAGCAAAATGGTGTTACTCCAATAGTCCATTCTTCCACTGCAAAATCAAGGAAAAACTATCAGAATCAGCTTTTACAACCCCAGAAAAACAGATTTACAGAACTCAGCAAACAAACACTGAATTGAGAAAAAGGCTCCCTGACATGGCAGGAGAGCTGTGCAGCATCCACTCACCCTTCCTCCTCCTCTTTCCAGCTGGGGTCCTGAAGACACAGCCTGCATTCTTGTGCAAGGCCTGCTTCCCAAGGACATGGAGCAGACCTTACTCTAAAGGATGTTACTGACTGATAACTTTTTTTTTTTTTTATTGAGTTTATTGGTACATTTAGGGATACAGTACAGTTACATTCATTGTTGGGATCATGTACCTTTACATGGCAAGTCTTGATTCTCATTTTTTTCCCCTTACCTCTGCCCTCCCTTCACCCCCTCCTCCCCTCCC